CATTTTTTAAATTAAATAAAATGCACGGGGAAACTATACACTTGATATATTTCTACTCCGCTTGTGTCTGAATAAAATTATATTCTAATCAATGGAATGCATTACTACCTGGACGGCGAATGGATTGACTTTGAATATCTTATCTCTTTGACGAGTTTATGACTTGGTGCAGAGAACGGCAAGACTCACTGATGATTGCGGCGAAACCTTTGAGAATATATAGAGTAAACAGTCTGATGCTGGGAATTACGACGAATACTATATCAGAGGTCTTCGGACAAGGAGCTTTCTACTAAGTCACCCTGACAAGAATTCCAAGTTGCGAAAATGAGGTCAACCCACTTTTATACACTATTGTCTAGATTTTTACTTCAGATCTGGATTGGCGAATTCAACCAGTTGCTCTATTTTCATCTAATGCAAAACTTTACTGCTGAAGTCTTCTTTCCATCTTTATTTTTTTCCCTCTACAGCAGCTTGTTTTTTTCTTTTTCTTTTGACTTTTTATCAATTATTTAACTCATTTCCTCATTTTGCTTTTATATTTTGAATTATTAAAAAATCACTGATATCAGTTACTTGATTACATACCTTTGTTCATTTGTAATTTCCTCAAGACTCATTTGTACTCAGTCTATTATTTTTTAATTTTTTTGTTTTTGTTTTTTATTCCTTTGTTTTAAAAGGTTGTTCTTATCCTCATTTACTTTTCTTTTCCAATTGCAACATTTTGTCATAATCAGGTTCACGTTTATCCTGCTTCCTCGACACGTTACTTGGCTAGTTCCAGTCTCCCTCCTATGTTCCTCTATACTCTTGAGCGAGAAACTTCTGTGATTACAGGCTACCGGATTCTCAATTCGCGGCCATTTCTCCTCACTTCTGACTCTTCTTCTGTTGGTATCAGCAATATTGCCCCTGGTGAAAACAATTTACCATCAAACATTACTGGTGACTCTGGTACTCAGGAATTGTACTATTACAGAGCTGCCCGTCATTGGCGTATGAGTTTGGCAGGAGCACGTCGAGACCAACGAATTCTTGCGCAGGCCACAAAACCACCATCTGGTGATCTTTTATTACATTTAAGAAATGCTTTATTATTGGTTTCTCGAAAGTCACATATAGTTGACTTATTAATAAATACATATTTATTATCATTTGGTTTCAAAGAATCCTATAATTTCGTGTCATTTGACATTTTATTTGTTTATAAGGAAAGGTATTGAGACTTCAGTAGAAACCAAAGTTGGACTTTTGTAAAAAATTTCATTTTTTGTCAAAGTTCGTGAAGAACAGATTCATTGGTTGATTGAACCAGAACAAGACGGCAGATCTACTTTATTCTGTAGACTTTTGGCTTTAATTCGAGGTTCAGGTTGACGCAGTCCACGAGACCGGGTTTATGGATAAATCTGGGCTTAGCTCTCTTCCAGGCTATTACAGACATCATAAGAGCTAGAACTCATTTTTTCAGGTCTTAAGTTATCATCATGACCCTTTTTGTCCTAGCGATAACTTTAGACTTTTACAAGAATGACCTCTAGCTCTAATGATGTCCATCATGTGAGTTCACTGCGACCAATTTACCTGTCTTTTGTAGCCACTTCACTGTTCAGCTAGCATGTAGGGAAACATAGAATAACCGACCGAATCATCAGATGTTCGAGTAGTTTGAAGAGGCGAGATGAGGAGATTCGTAAGTTGATTGCACCGGAAACTGTAAATGGATTGCTTTGGAGCTGTGGTTTTAGATTTGTGCGAATAGGTCCTGCGTACCGCCCTGCGACCCTAATGAGTCCTTGCTGAACTTTTATCCCTCATGCGACAGACATCTTAAGGGCAGCACACCATGCCTAACGATAATTCACCAAAACACAAAGACAAGAAAGATGCTCAGCTTTAAGCCTAACTACATCTTAGTCTAATTTGGTCCACTTACCGAAACATCTCATGTTTGGTTAGGTATCATATGCTTTTTCTAAATGTTCGCTGAAAAGTTTTGTTAACTAGCTGCGGATGGCATGTGAAGTGGCTGCAGATGAAGCGTGAAACGAATGTAATTGTGGCCGAACAGTCGCATCCTCCCCTAAAACAGTTATACCTTTTACCCTGCAATGTGTCCGCATTTGATTGCGTTCCCAAGCACGCGTGCTGTGTGAATGCATTGCTCTGAAATTAGTGTGATGTGGTAATCAAAACCGGATTCGAGCCTAAGCAAGCCTCCTCTAGCTTGGTGATACTTCTCGTTCCCGCTCCTCTCTAATCCGATCCAACAGTCACGTAGTTTTTACATAACTTCCTACACTTATTCATTCTATTTAAGATGTTGACTGTTTTATGCAAGTTTGTTGACCTTGTTTTCGCAACTTGCTCATATTAGCAGGAAGACCTAAAGGAGCACACATTGTCCGGAGTCCAAAGTATGTATGATAATTATTTTTGAGTATTGTCAAAATAGGATGTAGGGAAATACATGTTTGGAGCTAAATAAAAGGTTAGACCATCCTAACAGGGTCATTACATTTCCATTGGGTAATCTTTCGAAGAAGATAAGCAAATTACTGACAAGGTGGGACATCAGGACTATTTATAAAGAGGAAATAGCACTGTTCTCGATATTGTCTTCTTTTCGAGAATACTTTTACCCGCTCTAGGTCGGGCTGTACAAGCTTTTGTATTCATGTGATAGTGCTTATTTGGGAGAGACAGTTAGATCCACATATTTAAGTGTTTATTCAGAGACAAAACATCCTGTAAGGGTATGCGGGTCTAAAAATCGGAATTGGCCGAACACATGGCTTGCACAGGACACCAGATAGATTGGTCTAATGATGGATATGAAGGCTATATCAGTAAGCGAAAGAATAGGGAGGCGGTAGAAATCCACAAAACAGCCAATATGCTGAATAGGATAAATGAGTGTAGGAGGTTAAGCGGAAACTACTTGCGACTGTTGGATCGGATCAGCGAGAGAGGCGGGAACGAGAAGTATCATCGAACAAGAGGAGGCTTGATTATGCTCGAATCCGGTTTTGATTACTACATCACACTAATTTCAGAGCAATGCATTCACACAGCACGCGTGCTTTCGAACGCAATCACATGCGGACACCTTGCAGGGTAAAAGGTACAACTGTTTTAGGGGAGGATACGACTATTCGGTCACAATTACACTCGTTTCACGCTTCACCTGCAGCCACTTCACATGTCATCCGCAGCTATTTAACATAACTTTTCAGCAAACGTTTCGACAAAGCATATGATATCCATCCAAACATGAGATGTCTCGGTAAGTGGACCAAATTAGACTAAGATGTAATTAGGTTTGAAGCCGGCCCTATTTCTTGTCTTTGTGTTTTGGTGAATTATCGTTAAGCATGGTATGCTGCTCTGACAATGTCCGTCAGATGTTCGAGTAACTTTCATTTAGTTTGAAGAGGTGAAGACATTGCTCTGAAATTAGTCTGATATGTGAGTTAAAATCCTTACAGAAGTGGGTTGACCTCGCTGTCGCAACTTGGTCTTGTGTTCAGGGAGACTATGTAGAACGCACCGAGTC